TTGCCGGTCACGAAAAAAGACAAAGAGGAAAAAAAAAAAAAAGTTCTTTTCCTAACATGTCGTGTGTGTGTGTGTGTGTGTGTGTGTGTGTGTGAGAGAGAGAGAGAGAGAGAGAGAGAGTGCGCGCCCTGGCAATCTTTTTATGTGATGTTTTCAGGATAAAAAAAAGTGATTGAAGTGTATTAGCATTTAGCAGAGTGGTAATCTTTTACAGGATTCAACTACCAAAACCAGGGAGACTGTAAGAGCATCTCACAACCCTAAAATTCTTAAGCATCTACACTAAGGAAGAAGAGCCCAACAACTTTAACCTCCTCGCCTGGAATGCAGTAACCAATGCTTGGTGAAATTAAGTAAATTGAGTCCTTACTTCCATTTCTTCTATTCACATGCTCTAGACTAAAGAAAGAATTACCAAGACCTTAAAAGATCAAACTCCAAAAAAGAAAGGAAAATAAGAAAAGCAGATAACTGACCCTTCAACAAACAAAAGTTGAATGATCATACAGAAGTAATCTGAATTATAAGCAGAGTGCCTAGTGGTGACTTCAAATCCAATTTTCTAGAACTTTTGCTTCCATAGACTTCTGTGCATACTTCAGTCTTGGCATTTAGTGTATTATCCGAAACTGTCCCTGTGTCTTTCTCATTAGACAAACTGCACATTCCTCTGGGATGGGGACCTCACTGATTTAGTACCCCAATGTGAACTCATTTAATATGTACTGAGCACAACTTCTTGGGCCACAATAGGCAGAAAAGAAGCATCCCCGAGCTGCTAAAATAAATGATAAAATTGATATTCTGTGGCATTCTTACAGAGGTGAAAGGTACAAAGCAGTAGTAAGCCTAAGAGCTCTTACCTAAGAAATGAAATTTTAATATCAATAATAATAATAAATACCTAAGTAAAAGGTTAGAGGGGAGACAGAGAACTGGAAGACTTTTAGTCAGAAATAGTCCCGGTTTACTGCAAAGGCGGGAAGAAGGGAGAAAATTTAAAGATGAGAAAGAGAAGCCACATCTGACTACCTTTCCACCTTAAGAAGAGATACTTTTGAGTTTCTAGTTCATGATATGTAAATCCCTAAGCATAAGGGAAGTTCTGACTTAAAACATGGCTAGTCATAATCACAGAGCAATTAAAAGGGAAGAAGGAGGAATAGGGAGAAGCACATGTGCAGTGAGGCACACCATCTCTCACTCACTCTGTGAGCATGGGACACAGGTATGACATTCCACAGTGCAGTAAAGGTAAATGTTCATCTTGCAAGATCCTACCTGCCTGCTAAGGGTTTTCACTGATGAAACATAAATATCATTTGGATCCTGACTTTCAGAGTCAGGCTCCTTTTTTAAAGTGGATTTACAAGAAATAACCACATGTATTTATGGAGCCATCATTACATATCATCTTCTTGTTCATGCAGGGCACTACAAAAGCCACTCAATTTGTATGGGTAGCCCGCGTTTCAAATTGATGGGAGCTCAGAGACTAGAATGAGGTTTGTTCAATGGTTCCCAGTCCTGGCTGCACATGAGAATCACCTGGGGGGCTTTTGAAAAATAACTAGTACAGAGCCTCAACCAAAACCAATTAAATCAGAATTACTAAGGGTAAGGTCTGGGCACTGGTTTCTTTTGTTTTTTTGCTTTTTGGTTTTTTTCTTAAAGCTACACAAATACCATTAATTTTTTTCAGTATGGTAAAAGCAAGTAGTTATGTTTTTTTTTTTTTTTTTTTTTTTTTAAAGTCTTTACTAAAGAGAGAAGAAGATTTGCTTTAAAAATACTCCCTGGAGAGAGGTGGTTTTGATTATAGAAGATTGGCAAAATGTTGATAATTATTAAAGCTGGGTGATAAACACATAACAGTTGATTACATTATTAACTCTTTCTTTGTATATTTAAAATTTTCTATAATAAAAAGTTATTTTATGGAATATGTATGTGTATAATGTATTTAATATAAAAAATTTTTTGAAATACATTAAAATAAAAGCTTTGTGAGTGATTATAATGTGTAACCAGAGCTGAGAACCACTAGGCTACATAACTGAAGGAAGGGCAACTTGATTGGGAAAATAAAGATTTAAATAAGCAGCAAGAAGTGATCCAGGTGAGAGATTCAACTCAGGCTTGTAGAAAGATGGAGCCCAGTGAGGGTGGCAGGCCTCCTCTAGTTCATCACCATCTCTGATTTCTACCATACATATAGTATTTGCCTGAATTTTGAGAAACCTCACTCATAAGTAAACTGCAAATACACACAAATACACAAACACATACCTTTGTGTGTATATGTATCCGTGTGTACATGATTTAAGACAGCACTGCCAATTATAATCAGTAGCATGTAATTTCTTTTTTTTTTTTTTTTCCTTTTTGTCTTTTTTCGTGACCGGTAATGGGATCACAACCGTCAGTGTCGCGCCCGTACCGCGACCGGCAACGGGATCGCAACCCTCGGTGTCGCGCCCGCACGGTGCTCAACCAGTGAGTGGACCGGTCTCTATATGGGATCCGAACCCTCCGCGGGAGCGCTGCCGCGCTCCCAAGTGCCGCACTCTACCAAGTGCGCCACCGGGCTGGCCCAGTAGCATGTAATTTCTAAAAAAACATTATTTGTAGAAACACTGGTTATGACCTAAAATGCTTTGGTCTGTGGAATAGTTGCACAAAAGCATTCTTCTGGAGTGAGCTGGGGGTGAAGATTGGAAGTGTGGTGTTTGGAACTGGCAAGCTCTTCATCTACCTGAGTGATTTATGGGCAGTGCAGCTTGGAGGGCCCTGGGAGAACTCTTTTTTTTTTTCCTTTTTGTCTTTTTTCGTGACCGGCAACGGATTGCAACCCTCAGTTGTCGCGCCCGTACCGCGACCGGCAACGGGATCGCAACCCTCGGTGTCGCGCCCGCACGGTGCTCAACCAGTGAGTGGACCGGTCTCTATATGGGATCCGAACCCTCCGCGGGAGCACCGCCACGCTCCCAAGCGGCGCACTGTAGCAGTGCGCCACCGGGCCGGCCCGGAGAACTCTTAAATCAGATGCTAATAGAGGGAAGAGCCAAAAAGAGCAACCAAGGGCTGGCCAGTTATCTCAGTGGGTAGGGTGTGGTGCTGATAACATCAAGGTCTAGGGTTCAAGCCCTGTACCAGCCAGTCACCAAAAAAAACCCCAGCAACCAAGTCTCAACTAATAAAGACCAAATCAAAACTCACTGCATTCCACCTCCAAAATCCCCAACTCACCTATTCTTCTCCATTTCATTGTGAGTTGATCTGAAAGAGGAAACAATAAGAAAATAAGATTATTCTTGTCTTAAAAGACTATTTCAACACCAATACAATGATTTTAACTTCTTTCTCTCCAAAGTTGGTAGGAGAGAAGAAAGAGAAAGGGAGAAAAATTCACTGGGCTCTATTAAAGAAATCAGTCCATTCGGGGAGTTAGATAAATGTAAACATCTAAAATAGAGTTGTTTTTTTTTTTATAAAAAAGAGCTCAAGGAAAAGTGACAAACTAAGAGGCGTGCATTCCTAATGGAAAAGTAATCCATTTTAAGAAAATGAAAGGGATCTACTTATACAAAGAGAAAAACAGCTGCATAGTGCAATGTGAATTTTGGTTATATAATACCACAAAGCTTTCTTTAAGCAAAGGGGAAAACAGTGGAGGTGGTACCCCGACCCCATCCTACAGCTTTTTGTAGGGAAAGCATACACCAAAATTTTATTCTAAGTAGTCTGACTATAGGATACTGTTTTAAATAGCAAAATAACCCCCACCCTGATCTTTTAACTCCAATGAAGTAACTATCTTTTCATGTACAACCTCCTCAAAGATACTACTGATGAACAGCTACCAAATGATTTTAGGAAAGAGTTTTCAAAAGTCAGCTCAACATAAAGACAGGGTAGTTAAGGCCGAAGTTAGGGGAAATTTGAAGTCCAGCTTTGTCACTAAATGGTACTATGGAAGAAATAAAATTCTTTGCCATCTTGTCCTTGGTTAACCCCTCTGTAAAACAGGAATAAAAATAATTGCCAATTATTCACTGAAAAAGTGTGATCAATGAGGTAGTAACTGTAAAAGTGATTAGAGAGCCTTGGATGAAAGGTGTAGTGCTGTGAAATCATATTAGAGTGTTTATAGCTGACCTTGAAGATAAGGTCTGGTCTAAGACTTTATGAACAGGTTTCCACAAAATTACAGGAAGTCAGTCAGTGTGGCCCCTTTAGTGTACTCCTCACACAAATCCTCCCTAACCAGGTATAAATAAACTTGAGAAAACTCTCAGCCTTATAAAGGAGCTGAATCTTGACCTTTTCTATAGAAATTCTCTGGAATCTAACGAGCTCAGGAGCCAACCTCCTGGCTCAGGTCATGAATTCTTTGAGGCCATAATTAATACCTTAATAGGCTGAGAAGATAAATTCTCACAGCAGTCATGGTGGAACACTACCTTAAGATTGCTCAGCCACTCAATTACTTCAGGGGGCACTATCACCAAGTTCACTCACACAAGATACCAGGGATGGGGGGAGTGTGTGTGAGTGTGTCTGTGTGTGTATGCGTGCACGGGGGGGTGTGGGGGGGGTGTCTTGAAATGGGAAATTTCCAACCCAGCACTAAAACTTCTCTTCCACAGGCCCTTGGAAGATCAATTTTTATTTACGAGAAAAAACAAATGAGAAAATAATGACAGTATTTTAAGTTTTAGAATATTTGTTTTCTAGGTAAATGATATGTGGACCTCAAAATTGGTTAACTTAAAAGCTTTAAATTGATTCACTTGGTTATCCCTCAGTGTTCTTCAGTTACATTTTTCTGAAGGCTTACTTCCTTCAATGGCCAGCAGGATACTATAGCTAACAAGAATCTCGCCAGTACTGCAAAGCTTTGGCTTTAAAGCACGTGGCATTTTAGTTTTAACTGAAAATAATAAGTTCAAAGTCTGACAGATTTCTTAAGTGGATGAAAGTATATGACAACAGCTGGTTAAGATTTCCCTGTTTAACTATAGACAAAAACCATCCCTAGCAGGTGGAGGAGAGAAAAGTGAATAGGTTGAAAAGACAGTAGAGAAAAACAGCACACAGGGTACTCTTACCAAAAATTTCTGGATTCTTTGAAAAGATATAGATAGACAGACTGATGAATTTATATAAATTTATAATTTATATATTTATATAAAATTCTCAATCCCCAAGATAAACTTTTAAACAAATTCCATAGGAAGAACAACTCCTTCCAAACTTTGAACAGAGTTTTAGAATCCACAGATTTTATTTGATTACATGCGTGTTGAAAACATGGCACTTTTCAAAGGGGGACTTATACCTAATAGCTAGGGTGTTACTGAAGTTCATTTGGTTTACTGAAATTGAGTTAGTCATTAATAAAAAGCAGCGCTTTAAAAAATGATCAGTTCAGAGATTGCCTGCCACCTCCATTGATGGGTAAACATTTATATTTTTAATTAAAACATTATCAAAATAAATAGATAGCTTGTGTCAAAACTACTTCCCATGTGATTATTGAAAAGATTTGATAACTCTGGAATCACTGATAAAGGCTAAATTTCACCATTCAAAAAAAAAATACTCTAGTGAAACAATAACTAAGCCAAGCTACAGTGTATCTGAGAAATGGGAAAAGCCCTTGGGTTCAAAAAGACTCCCCATGTCAGGTCAGCTATATATGCACCGTCTTATAAAAGAACTGGGTGGCAATTCCTCAACTTCCTCTTCCAAGTGAGTGGCAAAGTCTGCTTTACTAATTTAACAAAACACACTTTTAAATGCTTTAGATTTCAATTCTAAATAGTTAGTAACCATTTTCAAAAATCAGCAGGACAGAAAAAAAGATTCCATCTTCATGTATTTCAGTAATTCTCTGGATGATTCCAAAAGAATCAATATTCACAACTTCATTTGTTTTTGTTGTTTTATTTTTTAAACAGATAACTAGAAAAACTTGATCAAGATTTGCATTTTCAGTTACCAAGAAGTTTGATATGTGGCTAAATCTTATTTTTTATTGTCCAAGGAAAAGTACTCCCCAGACTCTACAAGCAAAGAGCACAGCATTTCAACCTGAATGAACAAGAATAAATTCTTATCCAAGGGTTATGTAAACCAGCAGTAATCTCTCCCTATTCCTCACCTCAGTTCAAAATTCTGTCCATACATGGCCTTGGATATAAGACTGATTCAAACCAAGGGGTCAAGCTGCTTTCTCTGTTGAGACTGCTTACTCCTCAGGTAAGGGGCATTCTAAACAGGTCATGAAGGAAGTGATCACACTTAAATAAAACTACCTGCTCTTGCTTCATATGTTTGCTTGGTGCCTTCTCCAGGTTTAATCATGGTCTCTCAGAGGTCCTTACATCACTCATGACATTATACTAATTCGTTATTAGTCAAGTGATTATCACCACAACTGTGACAGCCCCCTGTCTCTAACCATAGAAAGCAAACCAAACCCAATAACAGAATTCATGACATTATACTAATTCGTTATTAGTCAAGTGATTATTACCACAACTGTGACAGCCCCCTGTCTCTAACCATAGAAAGCAAACCAAACCCAATAACAGAAGTAATAGAATTTTTCAAAAAAATTAGGCTTAGCAGCCTTTTTTTTTTTTCCAGAAATAATGCTGGTTATTAAAGAGAAGGGAAGAAAAGAGAAAGAATCCATTTCTTGGCTTGAAATTCTCAATTATCATTATTTTTCTTTCCTAATTGCCTTTTGGGACCGTGGCACTTCTCTTCAACATCTCCTTTTCCTCTCTCTACCACTGAACATCCCCCCACAACCTTCCTGTGAAACTTAGGAAAAAATTACGTGTTAAGGTATTAAACATCAACTAGTAATATGGACAACTCTTCTCTAATCATGAATGAACAATAATAAAAGCAAAAATTGACTACACTTTTCCAGAAAAATAAACTGAAAGGCCTCAAAGTCCTTCCAAACAAAATATCAAAAATCAATACTATAACAAAACAACACAGCTTAATTGTTTTTATACCATTGCATAATACAAGTCAGTGTTAACATCCTTCTTAAAGGGCCTTAGTACCCACAGAACTTTGGCTTCACCTTCAGGTAATGCTAAGATGGGAAGACAAGGAAAACCGACCAGGTAATTACCAGGTTCATCCTTAATGTACCGTCTTATTCAATAGGGTGACACGTGTGCTGCTCACATCCCGTGGTTCTATTAACACCACTAAGGACAGTGGGTGGACCAAAGACAGAAGAGGCAGCAAGAACAAGTGAATTTCGGGTTTAAGTGAGAACTTCCTGGTTTTAGTGGTCTATATTAAGCCTCAGAGGCTACCCAAATAGTTACTTGCAGGGAGTTATTCATGAGGGTGGGGGAAGGATAAAGATTCAAAACCAGTGGTGAAAATGCCAATGATTTTAATTTACTGGCATGAAAGATATAACTGAATGGATCTAATGAAACAGATTTCCTAGCCAACTAATATTTTAAGGGCAAAGAGCAGGGAAAAAGGCAATAACATTGATGGAATATTTATATGTACCAGAAACTATGCTTAGGACTTTAATATGTGATTTCATTGATCATTAACTAAATACTTTCCAGTGAGATTCACAGCTTTCAAGAACTATAAGGCAATCTATAAGGGAAACATGAAAAGGTTGTTGCATATTAATATTGTAATATTAAATGTTCCTCTACAACTAAAGAGGTAGGTTTTAGCCTCAGTTATCCTCTTTGCCACTGTACATAGATGTGACAAATTAGATGATCAGACAAACCACTGTATTTAATTTTCATGTCTTACCACATAAACTAAGTAGATACTTTAATATGTTTACAAAACCTTCACTATGAATAGTAAAAGATATTGATAATATCCAGCATTTTGAATTGTAGGAAACTTGCCCTGAATCTGCAACTTCTGAAGGCAGAATATTGTCACTATTGCTAATCTCATTTGAAGCTTTTTTTTTTCCAAAAGGGAAAAAAAGCAAAATTAAAATTAAAAAAAAATTCATAAAGAATACATTTCTATTTTCCTTTTTAGAAGAAGGGCTGTTTCCTCCAACAGCTTAGGACCATGTGGCAGCATTAGTGAATCATGATCGCCACTTAATGTATTTACAGGGTTATAATCACAACAGGCAACTTACATTCTGCAGTGTGTGTCATTTACAATACAATCTAAAAGAGAAAGAGAAACATTTACCAAATTACCTGCTGCTGCTGTTATTCTTCTTAGATTTGTTCCTCCGTTTTAAGGCATCTCTGTCCTTGTTATTGTATGGTAACATGGAGGCATAACCATGTTCAGCTTCTAGAAAACCGAAGGATCCAGTTAATGAATGAGCCCAGAACATTTAATTCTCTCCCCTCCACAGTGTTTCCTTTTCCATCTTTTTATTTATCTTTAAAAGAATACTGTGGAAACAATTAAACGGAGCAAGGTGGAATTCTGAGAACAATGATTTTTTTAAAAAATTGTGTGAATACCCTCAGTTCGGAGCAGGTGTAAGGAGGATTCCAGCTGCTCATTGTTGAGAAAGACACAGCAAGTGGCTAAGCTCACGGAGCCTGGGTTTCCCATTGGCAACGACCAGCAGGTTGGTGCGGGTTAACTGGGAACAGCCTCAGGCGAAGATGCAGGGCAAACCTCTCGAGCCGGGGGGTAGAGGAGGCGCTGCTCCTCGGCCTGGGAGACGGGGCTCCGGACCCACTCGGGGGCCGGCCGGGACCACCCTTGCTGAGGTAATTCAGAGGGGGCTGGTGAGGGGCCTCCGGCACCGCACTCGCAAGGGTGTGGAGAAGAGGCGGCGCTCGGGACCCCCGGGGGCCGCAGCCCCTTTCCACCCCCATTCATTGCTTTTGGGCGGCCTCCCTTCGGACCGCGCGTGGGGAGAGCCGGAGGGGTTAGGAGCGCTCGCGGTCACGGTCTCGGTGCCTCTAACCACCCACGGAGCGGCTGGGCGCCCCGACCCGCCGCCCGGCCCCTCAGGGTCCCCGGCTCCGGC